TTGGATCATTCTGACTTGTTCCATTATCACCTTACGGATTTTTGTTGAGACTCTTTTCAGCACCCAACCTTTTTCTTTCAAATAATAAATTTTCTTTTTTGTAACGAGCTTGTATTTATTAATTTCTACTATCCTTCATCTCTCTTATTTTGCTCATTTCCAACCTAAAATTTAATAGTAAAGTTTGTTGCTTATCTAGAATTTCATGTTTTCCACTTTAAATACACAAATTAATTTGCTTATCTTTTCTTTTTCAGCTCCAGAAGCATCTGCAGACAAACAAGATTTACAAACAGATATGCAAACGGCGTTTCAAACATTAACAGTGTGTTTCCCATCAAATACTATTCCGTAATTATATTGTTAAACAATTGGCCAATTCTAGAAAAAAAAGTTTAGTCGATATCAATGAATGATTTAGATTTGAAGTTATAATTGAATTTGATATTCTTGAAATTACTAATCCCATAAGCCGAAAGGACCCTAAAATTAAATACGTAAAAACTTTTAGATAGCAGATGGTGTATTGGCAATAAGGCACGTCCGCGAATCACCACCGGGAACGCCAAGAACGGCAGTGTCACCATTGCGTGATCTAAACCGTCCGTTGAGAAATACCGTTTCCTCTTCAATTGCAAGTCTTTTTTCATGCATCTGAAATATTGAGTGTTTTTATCTTTCAGGAGGTACTTCAGCTGTGAGGAAATCCTTAGTCCTTGAACTTATTCATGTTTGAATTTAAGATGAATTGTTAAAATTGATGATTCATGTCATTTGCCGTGTTTGAGTCTTAAGCGGTTGTTCGAGGAGCCACGATTAGATATAAACAATGCTCGCTAGCTGATGAATCCGTGACATACTAAGTTTTGCTGTGTTTTAAAAAATTCTTAATAAAGAGCCACATGATTCGGGAAATTTTTTGGGATTAAATGAAGCTGAATGGAGTTTGAAATTTATTTTCAGAGATCAGAGGAAGATTTGAATGATTTCATTTTTGACGAGAATTTTTTGGAAGATAGCTGGGGTCTTCACACAAGCGTGGTAACTAGCAATCTTCTCTATCTGGAAAGTATGACATATCATTCTTTTATCAGTTATGGAAATTGATGTAACTTTATGAATTTTAAATGCAATTTAGAAGTGTTATCAAGTTATTCGGATTCCAATATGAGGAGAGAAACTTATTTCAATGTCATTCTTATAAATACAACTTTTTAGAATCTGCATCAAACAATTCAGATTTACCGGAACTGACTTCAGAGCAACTTTCACCTGTGAACTCTTCCATAGTATTACCAGTGGATCCTAAGTATGTGATTAATATTTCAATTGGAATCTTTTGTTAGACTTCTGATGATTCTGATTTATGAACATTTTTTTCCATTGAATTTTCAGAATATATCGCATGTGTTGGGTTCCTGAGTCAGACCTGGATTCGATGTCAACTGACGAAAATTATTCTCTGAACCATCTTTCACCTGCAATGGACAGTACATATGAAGGATATAGCGTACATAGCTATTTTGGTAACAACTTTAATGCTTATAATTCAAAACTTTTCATTTGGCTGGCCTACATATGATTACGAATATCTTTGAACGTTTAATTAAAATTATTCAGTATGATGCTTGCAGTGGAGCTACAACAAGAATGCATGCTGCATGCAATTAATTCAGGCTTCAATAGCCTGTGGATTTTGGGCGCAATATTTGAAATTTAATTTAAATTTTAAAGCTTGTCAATAAAGTTTTCGTTTCAAAACTAAAGAATCAGGTAAATTTCACGTCACTATCACAGAACACACTAATTTTCCACATCTACCGCATTGCAGGCGGAGATGATATATCAAACTGCTCAGGATTAGATGAAAGCAGTGATTTGGACCAAAGTGATGCTACTCTGAATGGTTATTTTTATAGCAAAAGAGCATTAAAATATTAAAATCATGACATTATTTCTCCTTAATTTAATGAAGTGATAAATTCTTCCAAAATTTTCTTTGAAGTTCAGTGTCAATAAATATTATAGAATCATTCATACTTCACACTCAAAATTCATTACTCATTCAATTCACTTTTCAGGGATCAGTTTATCAAGCAGTTTCTTTGACAGTAACTCAGAAACTCACTCACCCATTCATAAGTAACAAATTATACCACCTGTCTACTATCACGAAAATCCTGATGTGAACTCTTTCATCTTCAAACACGAATTTTTTCGTATTTTAACTTCAAATCTTCAATTCTAATACAAATTAAAGTGTAATCTTTTTCAACAGCATCCAGTTAAGAACACTGTTCGAAACATTGACATCATAATCAAATGAAACTTTTAAATGATCATCGAATTTCAAGACAGGAGATTTGTATTCGTAACATAGATGCACTATTTAAATAACCCAGATAAGCAATTTGTATTCGTAACATAGATGGACTATTTAAATGACCCTTTCCCAACACTATTAACAGCTTGTAAGATGAGCTATTTTTCAATATTGAACCCGAGTATCGTTTAACGTATTTCCAAGAAATTTAAGATTGTCAAAAACCAGAGCACAGTTGAATTAGTGATTTCGATAACATCTATTCAACGTCATGTGTAAATATTTTGCATGTTTAAACTATGTTAATTTGTATCATGTGTTTAGGCATAAGGAATGTATCCTAATACATTTGAAATATAGGATAATCTTATGATGTATTTTGGAATTATATTTACAAATTCGAATGACGGGAAATAAAATATTAGAACCCATTGCTCGATAGCAGTATTTACTTATAAGCAATTCACTAGAAAGAACCTTGTTTGTAGAGATTATCGAAACTTGGTAAAACCTACTTCGCGCTTACCATCATTTCGTTCAACTCGTCTCACTATTTAGCTTCTAGGATGTTCTGCTTAGATAACAATGAAAGTTTACCAATAATTTATTATAGCACAATAGACTGACTAATAGCATTCATGCAAATTTATAAATTAAAACAAGATGGCCAAAGTAATCGGAAGGTGAAGTCATGATAAAAATAAAACATAAGACAAATAACGACTAAAATCACAATAATGTGGTCGATGAGGGAAAATATAAATTAAAGACAAGAAGAAAAAGAAATCGAATAACTAGTAGCGGATTGCAACTGGCAATCGATGATGCAAAATACAACTTGGAAGATAATTTCCTATGATGCTTTCATATTTTATGTTACCTGGAATAAGCTCACAACTGTTAAAATATATTTGGATACGGAAAAATCCTAGACCTTGAAGAAATGCAACGGAGTTCCAAAAGATTCAAATTTCATAAATATCGACTGCCACGACATGGTCAATATTTAAATAGAGATGATGCAAAGGCTTTAATGAGGAGAAAAATAAAAGGATCAAGAAGCAACAATTAGCCAAAGGATACAACATATATTAGATAGAATATGGCTGAGATAATTATGCCGGCCGGTGCATCATCACATATTCTCCCATTATGCTTTCTTAACTTCAAGCTTTCTTCGGAAAAGTGATTAAAGAAATGAAAAATTATTGGAAAAAATATTAGTCAAAACTAATATATAAATAAAGAGTTATATTTTTAAAAAGAACTAGAAATATTTGGAGACGGAAATGCATTTTTAATTCAGAAAAATGCATCATTACATGGAAAATTGTGCCAAGAACTTTTCGTTCCATTCAGTAAGACATATGCTTCTGCTGCTATTCCACTTAATAACCTGATCACTTCTAAATTTAATTGAATTTCTTACGAGAATGTTGGTCAGCTTCTGGAAGATCGCGTACCTGCAACCTTAAGTAATGCGTTATTCGTAATATTTCTGTTAGTAATCAAAATGTTAACGTAATATTACTTGTTAACAGTAATATTCCTATCTGTCAACGTATGCATAAATACCGAATCCTAGTAGCTGAACAAATCATGAGAACTATCCAACACTAAAAAAGATTGTCCAGATTATTCAGATGATTAAAACAATTGTTTGGCATTTTGATCCTCTATCAAGACATTCCTCCAAATAATGTCAGAGACAGTGTGGACATCACTACATAAGATTAAAATTTCAATCGTCGTTCCAAATTGCTTACAAATTCAGAGATAAGCATTCTACTTCCTCTCATAATAAGATATACAAGCCAAGTGGTAACATATTAAGATATATAAATAAACTAACATCGTCGTTTATATGTTTCCTTCTCTTCTGCTGGATTCTAGGTTGCTTATCCATCTTAATTTTGCTATGCTTTTCTCGGTAACGACGTACTTGGAATAAAACAAAGTTCCACAGCATATATAATTGCAACGCCAGAACACATAACAAACTATTTAGTCTGTAACAATAATATTCATGACAACTTGAAAAAAATGAAAGAAAAATAAAAGATTTATGATAACTTTAAAAATACTAACTGTTCAGTGCGCAGAAAGAAACACACAGAAAAATTAACATACAAAGTCGTTGACCGAAAACGCATACATTATTTTAACTTCTCTCGTAAAAGAACTTACCGGATAAATGCAGTGTTGAAATTTCCGTTCACTGGATCCACATAGGGAGTTTCATTGGAACGAAGCCCATACCACAATGTAAGTACAGCTAGTACTGCGCTTACCAATCGTACTAGCACAAATACAATATTCCAAATTTTGAAACTAAATTTTTGTAGATATGAATAAACTAATATAACCGAAATGCCAATTTGCTACAGAAAACCATCTATTCCCATAGCTGTAGCAAAAAAAGAAAAAAAGCGATATGAAAACAGTAGGCATGCCGCCTCAACTATACCATTCTTTCCAACAAAACGGCGTCTGAAAGAGGTAATCATCACAGAGCACCTATCTCGAACGTAATTCATGACAAGAAAATTTAAACGAACCCGGTCTTCGCAATGTTCCATTTTTCAGCAAAGTGAAACAGGCGAGTAAGGTGGAAAATATTTTGTGAAACATACTCCAGAAAAAGGAGGGCTAGAGCAAGTCGATTGAAGCTGCAAAAAAAATGATGAGATTGAAAACCGAACCGCTATCTTCAGCTTATTTTATTGTAACAAAAAATACACGATTACCTCTTTTATTCAACTTCCCCCGCGTTCTTTTCTTCTTCCCTCAGAATCGTAGAAAGGCTTTGGAATCCATTTGACTAGTAAACAAAGTATTTTAGGATGAAATAGTATAGATAAATTTTGATGTGGTTTAAACCCGAAGAAAAAGGAAGTGGCGCAATCATTCCCAGGAAAGGGTCATAATTAAGGGTAAAATCCAGCTTTACAGAATAGCGATTCCATAGAATTGAACCATTTATTATTGAAATTTTTAATTTTGTCAAGTTGAAAACATGGTATATTTGAATGGAAATTTAATTATTATATAAAATTTAACGGAAATAAAAAATGGTGTTGGAAAATATGCAAAACATTTACTTCAAACAATATGCTGCAATGGTGAAGAAAAGAAAAATAACTGAGTACAGTGTTCGCGGCTGTATTTCATCTTTGCGCACTTTTTGGAAATAGAATTCAGGGAACTGATGCAACCAGTAAGCAATCTGTAATGTATCTTATGCATTTACAAAATTCAGGTGTTAAAAATAAGATAAAAGGGACTAGGTTCAGAAAATTTATAAGCAAGTAATCATCACTTACATAAAATAATGCGTAAAATAATCATACCTGAAAAATAAAAAAGAGTTTCAGATGAAGTGTCATATGACGATGGATTTCAGGATATCCAACCCATAATTTGGTAAGGTCCAGATGCATTCGTATATCATGCATTATGTAGCCTGTAAATTATGTCACACAAGAGTATGATCAAGGTGAAATGCATCCTCGATGGAGCACAAAAAAGGCAATTTGCAATTAAAGGAAAATCTTAAAGTCATTTCATAAAATTAAAATGTTAAAGCTGTCATTTCAGAGAAAACAGAAACATCTAAAAAAATAGCTTACCGCTATGTATAACGGAGTATAGGGCAAAAACAAACAGTTGCCCCGATTCAGCAAATTTACTCATCTTTGTTTTACTCAAATGCAGTTTCCGCTGCAACTTGTCTAACACATATTCTTGCAAAACAGCGTGAATAGTAATCCATCCAACAGCATAAAACGCAACAGCTGCTATATCTTTCAAACCAGTCCGATAATAAGCTTGTGATTCTGCAAGAAAAAACAATCTTGCATAATGAATATGTTTAAAAACAACCTCCATATACTACTTGCCCAGCTTTCACTGCTTACAAAGTAAATGCCAGCTTCTGCACTTGAAGACAAAAGGGAACTAGGCTTGTATGGATAACAAGCATCGATTGGATTCTACTTTGAAAAAAAAATCAGTATAGCTTTCCAAAATCAACTACATATTCTACGCAGGATAGCCAATGAGCAGTAAGCAGGAACTGAAAACGAAATCAAACTAACAAGCAATTTTTCCATTTGTTTGTTTAGAATAAAACGTACCAGAATCCAGGGTTAGCGGAAATGTGTCATTGTATTGAGGAACAATGAAAATACTTGCCAATGCTGATGTGCCCTATAAAATCATGGATTTGACCGCAAATTACTGACCTGATACAACTATTTCTTTACATACATATTTTGGTAAGAAAACTAAATTGCAACTAATAATACATCTAATTATGTCGTTCACAATTACTTAACAAATATCCATCTATTATTTCCCCAATATTCCAAAAAGGAGTTACCTGGAAAAGAAGTCCAACGACAACGATCATCAGCAAACATGACATTATATCGCCATGATTTTGAATAATAAATTCATGGGAGAGAAATGGTGGTGAGGTTTTCTTACCGCGTCCTCCCATTGAACGACGCAGTTCAACCATGCTGAACAGGTAGAAGTAGAAAAGCAATATTTAATGTTAGCATCGAATCTATGTGCAACGTAGGAAAAAAAACGAAACATTTCAAACAACTCTCCCTAGGTATCGCGAAGATTACAAGCAGAAAGTTCCCTACACATCCAAATCTATCTTACATATCAATATACCCTTCCTTCCTCTACTTGAATTTCATATCGACGTGTAAGAAACAACGAATAGGACAGATAACATTGAAATAAGCACAAATGTATTTCCCAAGAAATCGGGTCAACTGACGTAAACGATTCATAGCTTAGCCAGTATGGAACAATCAACACAGCAAAATCACATCAACCAAGCCCACAAAACTGGAATCCAATATCCGTTAAAATTTAAGATATCCATCAACACATGTGATATACTACATCACGTATCACATACGCATGAAACCATTACCATCACTACCATAATCAACATCAACATCACCAAACTAATAATAAAATACAATGAACTTTTGTGACGCTATAAACCTTACCACGAAACCAATAATTGCAGTCCAATTACTGTAACTTGTCAGAATTCAGGCGGTGAATTTGAAATGGAATGAAAATGAAATAAGAAAGAATAATTTGATGAAATGAGTGCAGAGATAATGGTTAAAAATAAAGGAGGAAGTGTGGCCTGGAAGGTACGTACAAATGAACACCCTGCAACAAATTCCGTTCACATTCTAAATCTTTTAGAAAACGGTGTCATCTAAATGATGCTGCTGCTTGCTTCTGCTCCTACTCCTATCATCTTTCCCACCTGTCCTTTATTTTCCCCGTAACAATCTCTCACATAGCTATTAGTTATCCCTTCTTCCACACTTACTTGTCCAATTTATTTCACCAATTTTTTCATTCATTTTAAAATCGACGCTTTCATTCGTGTTTTACACAAGTGAAGTGAAATGGTCATTCGAAATGTATGCTTAATGGGTGGACTACCGTGGGGACTTCGTTTTGAACCATTTCCAAATGGACGAATTCGAGTTACTCAAGTTTAAGCAATTTTACTTTTGTTATTTTTTTATTTGACAAAAAAATTTTAGCAAAATATGGTTTCAAGTGTTTTTTTGTTTTTTTTAAGACAAAAATATTTTGATCACAATATATCTTTAACTAATCACTTCTTTGATAAATAATATTTCTAATAACTTAATCTAATCTCAGTGTGAAATGCAATATTAACATTGCTTCTCCATATAACCTTAACACTACAAAATATTAATTCAGCCTTGCAAATGTTTGCCAGTTTTTTTTTCGCTTTATTTAAATATTTATCTGTTTCTTTATTTGTTTTACTTATTATGCAATTATTTTATTTGTAACGTTATTTTTTCTTGCTCTTAGTTGAGATGTGCTTTGTCGTTAATGACTTTTCATACTGATTTTGACTGCAAAGTTAAATTCAGTAATCGTTTATTCTGCTATGATTTTAACTTCATCCAAGTATTTATTTGAATTTCAGTAAAGCATCGAACCATGTTATTTGTACGTGAAAGTTGTAGCGAAATTAAGTGCCTCTGACATCGTTATATCACTCATTCATCAGTATTTTAATCATATTTGATATTTTAAATTTGAAAACAATCACGGATGATTAATTTGCATGAAAGAATGGATAAGGCTAGGGTCACGTGGTTTCATCTATTCGCTCGGAATAACTTGCTGCTGATGGGAGGATTGCATTCTACCAGCTGAGTTCATAAAAGATTTCTTGGAATGGTTTCATTTGACAAAAGAAAAAGAAGGACAGAGATATAGTGGAAGTCAAAATTTCTGGGCAATTAAAGCTTATTTTACAATTTAATCATTGCATGGGAAAGAAACATCGAGGAAACGGAGAAATTCTACTATGATTTGATTCGTTCACTCCAATTATCGTTTATTCTGCACCACTACAAAATATGTTTCAAAGGCATATCTAATGAATATATAAACAAATTATAATTTATTCAAATAAGTAAATATATTTATATATAAATCTATCTGAATTAAAAAAGTGTAAACCATTTTATAAGTTTTTCCTATAGAATAAGTGAGAATCACTTTTAAAAAAACTGTTATTTTTGTCTGTTATAATTTAAATAAATTTCTGATGAATTTTCAATTTATCCAAATAAATATTTATGCCCATTTTACAATTATTCGCTTCTTCACATTTTTAATTTGATGACTGTTGTTGAACAAAATAATAGCTTTTTTAAAATAGTTATTCACATCTCTGGATTGGGCACATAATTCAACACACAGATTATTATCCCTCAGGAGTTTTATAATTCAAAAATTTTTTAAACTTAAATTTTTAAACTATTATATGAGTTAATACTTGAATACTTCATCGAAATAACGGTCTCTTCATGACAGTTGATTGAATAACAAACGAATTCACTATGTAATATCCCTCCACATACGCTAGACAATACTTTTTGAAATTTCTGCGTAACAGTAAACATTTTTGTTATATTTTTGTTACACAATCATATTCTAAAGTACATATGCCTTTATTATGGATTGCATTCGAATGGCAGGCTGATGCTTATAAGAGTTAAAACTTTTATGGATTAGTAGGAAAGAGCAGATACCAGTCAGTGATACTTACAAACAGTTAGTAAAGTATCTATTCAATAATTATAATTATTGTAATATTTCATTGAAGTTCATAAATTTAAAATCGACTTTTCGAATGTAGCCGTCAAATTATGAAATGATACTTTTTTCTATTCCTCTGATGATTCCATTTTGATATATTTAAAGATTGCTAAAATAGTTGAATCGAAATTTGACGTCGGAAGAGATTCTCAAACCTGGTTTTGTTTACAGAAACCTTATTTTTTATTATATCACCCTAAAGAGGTGCAGTATTTTATTACAAGGCACATTTTCTAAGTTAATTTAATTAAGGCGATCTACAATATTTCCCAACTCAGTAACTCATTTCGACAATTTTTTTAATTTTGCATCAACCGCATAAAGTACACTTACTGTGCATATTTATCCTATTAGGTGAATCTTTAAAGTAATAAAAATTTGACACAAATTTTAGGTTTTGCCCAATGGACGAGCTGATCAAGAAGGTGTACGAATTGGTGATATTGTAGAAACAATTAATGGACAACACTGCACAAGTTATAAAATGCTCAATGTTAGGTACGAGGCGCACGAGGTGTACTTCGAATTCGTTTTATCAGGTCATTATTCTTGTACAGTCTTATCAACAAATATATAAAACTTTTGGGAATTTTCTTCAATACTTCTCAGTGAATTTTCAGAATCCTTATAGCTCTTTTGGTCATAATAGCCTATATTTTATCCTAATATACTAAATAAAAAAAAATGTTTAGCAATTAAGCTTGGAAGAGATTGATTACTAAAATGAACAAAGTATGTCTTATATTTGTCTATTTTTGCTGATTTTGCTTCATCAAATTTATTTCACTATTCTCTTTATCTTTTTATATCTTTCCCTTAAACATAATTCTTTAAAGTTTGAACAAAATATTACTTTTTAATATGGTTGATTTTTCCTAAAGATACTGTTAAGTGTTTTTGCTTTTCCACAATAGAATGATACGCAGCTAATGTATTGTGCAATGACTAATAAATTATGTATTAAAACAACTGCACATGCTTATTGCCCTTATGAAATTTAATATGCGCGAATCTTTTCGTCCACTCCTTAAAGTATGTAAATCATAATTGAAGAAGCCTTGGATCGATTATTTGTCATAGGCTTGTGTCAGATGTGCTGATGCAATCTCTCCTCTTTCAATTGTTTTCATCGGCAATGACGGACAATTTCCTTTTGTAAAGGTTCCAGTTATCAGGAATTAGATTAATTATTAATTAAGGTATTTTTTTTTACACTAACTACCCCACTGATACAGTTGTAAGAACAAATTGAGGAAGGGTCTTCCTTCATCTTCAAGATAAATAGCAATGAAATGAATTGATTTTGACACCTGAAGGAGTTATAATCAAAATATCTATATATTCTTTAATTTCTTTTTAATTTATCCCTATGCA